TGTATGTATGTTGTTTTTTAAATTTGGTGCAGCTTTACTGACTTTAAGTTCTAGTTTTTCTAGTTTATATGTGGCTTTTCCACTCTGCTGACCACGAGAAGCAGTTGAATGCTGTGGAAATGACTAAGTGGACCCTGACTACTTCCTGCCGCTCCCTGTGGTTATCACCTCTCCCAGTGTCCATTAAGCCTCCATGTGAGCTGTGTGTAGTGAACGTGCCCTGATAACACCACAGGATTAGAAGGGAAGTTTTTTTTAGATCATTGATCCTGAAAGTAAAGAGCATGTGAGACGCAGGAAAACCCTTCATTCCCCTCCTCTGAGGTCATTTTCACCCACACCCTCCTCGGACGTTTGTCAGTATGTCGGTGGTTTCAGTGTAGATGAGCACAGTCGGATCCCGGCAGCCGCAGCACTCGAGCTGTCCGCTGACCCCTGCATGGCCAAGGATGCATCAGAGTATCTCACCTCCCTCGGTAAATCTGCTTCCTCCCTCGCGCCCTCTGCGTTTTTCTTCCAGTACTTCAGCTGCAGAACTGAATTCCTGTCCTACCTGATACTGTGTGTTGTCAAAATGCCGTTCGTACCACCCGTGTCGATTGCTCGCTCTGTGTCAGGACTGACGGGGAAGGAGACATCCATCAACCGCTCCTCATCTTCGACCTCTGTGGCCAAGACGAGGGAGTCAAAAGAAGACAAAGGAGGATCAGTGAAGGAGCGGCTGACTCTGAACCTCAAACAGTTGGGGAAAAAGAGCCAACCCAGGAGTCACCTCCCAACAGCAACTAAAGGAGCGTCAGGAGCAGAGCTGCACTCAAAGAGAAGAGACAGACTGGTGCCCTCATCACAGACAGACAGCTTACCTGCCTCCAGCTCAGGTGAGTCACTGTCGAAGACCCAGAGGCAGAAACCTGTGAGCCAGAGCTCTGTGAAGAGTGAACCAGAGGTGAAGATGAGGCCCCGGCACGAGGAGGAGGAGGCCCGCTTCACCCTGACGCTCACACCTGAGGCTGTTCTCCTGCTGCAGAGGAGGAGCACCGAGAGGCCTCAGCGCTCAGCAGTGAGAAACGCTGAGAGCGTGGCTGGCAATTCTGGAAGTGCCACAGATTCCAGACGCCGGAGGGAAAACGTCTCTAAAAGGCATCAGACGTCTACGCAGAGACACAGCGCTCCAATCAGCAGAGCACCTGTGAAAAACAACAGCGTGGCCGAGCTGGGAGACATCAGATCGATTTTGAAAATCTCCCTTCTGAACGAGCAGCACAAGTACGATGACGTGGAGTACGAGGACGAGGGGGACATGGGCGTGGATGAGCGAGTGGTGCTGAAATGTACTGAGTGGCTCCGTGGGCTGGAAAACACACCGGTGACTGTGGGGAACGGCCTGAGTAAGAGTGTGAGCGGTGTGAAAAGTTTCTAAAGGAGAAGAGATGAGACTCCAGCTTCTATCTCTGTTTTTGTCAGATGTTCACATGCACGTCGTTGTTCATCAGTTGACGACTTTTAATGCACCAGCACAGAAAAATGACCAGGTTGCTAACATGGTGCAGACTCAGACACTCGACTGCTCTGTTTAATGTCTCTTCAGATGAAAAACCTCAAAATGTGATGCAAAATGATGCACAGGATATTTAGAATACTTCTATTTGATGAACTGATGCAGCTGTAAGCAGTTGAGTGAATGAACCTCACTCAAAGCTGAACAGTATATAGATTTATTACTTCTGCCAATGAATTTGTCTTCACTTGTTTCTTTGTTAGTTTGCAGGATTAAGCAAATCAGTTTCCACAGAACTTGTTGGAAGGATGCGACGTGAGTTTTTGATTGATCCTGTAAACAGTTAAAATAACAGATGAGTGAAAACACAACGTCCTAAGTGGAGATTAGAAAGTTTTGTGTTTGAATTCGTCACCCAGTGTTAACACATGCAGCTTCAATGAAGAGGTGGGAGACGATACATATAATATATGATAACGACAGACAGCGTGGGATAAGAACCTTAAATCTAATGTAAATCAAGGAGGAAGCTGAGAAGCTGATTTTTAATACTTTTCTGTTCCGCATGTACAGGTTTAACTCAAGCTTGTAAAAACAGAATATTTAATATTCTTTACTTGGAGAACTTGTTTTTTAAAAAAATAAAAAAAGATTCCCTTTAAAGTGTTTCACTGTTTTATTGACTGTAGCTCACGTCTCACACGGTGTAAGCAGCTTTGTAAGAGCTTGACTTTAACTTGGAACATTTCCCTCGTGCACAGACCAAGCATGCTTATCTGCAGCTTATCCACCTGGAGGTCACATGTCACAGCACATGTGTTTGTTTATGTTTGAGAGCACACACACACACACACTATATTGTGCAATGTTCAACAGATATTAGGATTTTAAATATTATTTGATATGATCACACGTAAACAAAATATATATAATGTCTATATTTTTTGTCAAATAAATAGGATAAAGACATGGTGCATGGTTGACGGACACATTAAAGCAGCGGTTTCATTTCCAGCGGTTGATGCGGCGCAGCTGCACGTAGGCCAGAAACATACAGACGATGATGATTCCCAGCAGAGCCACCTGGTTCTGCCAGAAGCCCCACACAGAGTAGTCGATGTCCTGGCTTCTCAGGAACACCTCCCCTGGGATGCTGTAGCACAGACAACAGAAGCTCAGTGTGTGTGTGAGTGTGTGTGTGTGTGTGTGTGTGTGTGTGTGAGAGTGAGTGTGTGAGAGAGTGTGTGTGTGAGTGTGTGTGTGTGTGTGTGTGTGTGTGTGTACTATGCTATGCTACGACACTCACATCGTCTGGTTGCTGTAGAACACCTGTCCTTTCAATTCGATGATGAACGCAGCCTGAATATATGAGAGACAAGAAGAGAAGAGTCTGAAAACAACTTCCTCCCTCCAGATACAAACAAGTTGAAGCAACACTCACAGACTTTTTTTGTTACCTTAAAACAGCGGCTTCAAATTTAAGTTAAGATGGTTCACTAACTTGAAATAGAATGTTTCCTCTTTCATTCCCACTCCTCGGCCAACAGAATTATTCATTATGTATTTATTATCTGCTGCAGGGGGCGCTGTTTCTCAGGAAAAGTGACCAGGTGTTGCTTTAAACTCTGTCCCACTGATCTCATTCACAAAACCCTCCTCCTCTCACTCTGCCTGTGTTCCACATCTTACATTCAATCCATATCTGAAGATACTGATCCATTTCAGCCAGGACAGCCAGCTCAGCATGGCGTTGAGATTGACAAGGTAACCTCCGAAAACCTGACACAGCAGAACAAACAGGGAACGAGGGAGAGAATTATACTCTATATTCATTTATAAGCCTAAATGTAACTGTCACATGGTGTTTATATATGTGTCTTTGTGTCCAACCATCATGAAGACAAAGGGCAGAGCAATCAGGATGTTGGCCATGGCAAACGAGGAAACACTCGCTGAGACGAGGAAAGCCAGACCGACTCCTGCCAGACTGACCAGAGACATGGTCAGAGCGAAACACAGGAAGGCCTCAATGTCGGGTTTCAACCCTGGAGGAGAAGATTCGTGTAAACGAGACGACAGAATTCATCTAGAATTTTCATTTCACTGAACTGGAATCCTCTTGGAATAAAGTCAAGCCAGTGTATATATGACAACAGACAAAATGACAGCTCCCAAAAGTGAAGCCAAATCATCTTGATCGCCCCCTGATGGCTGGCTGCAGTATAGGACATAAACCCCACCTCCTCCATGATAGAAGATGGGACATGGACCAAACTAAAGGGTCAAAGTACATGTTAAATACATTTTAGGTAGTTCTTTTCACACTGATGTATGTTCAAGTGTTATTTTTTTTGATAAGATTGGTTTTTATTATTTATTTGATTACATAAAAATGGGATGAAACCTCATAACTGAAAGCTCAGACTGACTGATGGTGTCAAAAGCACAAGATTATTATTAATAGTTAATGATCTGATTAACAGTCTATGATCTGGATGATGTACAGTAATATTGTGCACATATACACGCGCATGTACGCAGATAAGTAATTACCCATCATGTAGTAGGCGATGGCTGAAAATGCAAAGATTGGGATGATGCGGTTGGGGATAAGATCAGCAAAGATCTTAGACAGGAAGTAGACAGAGGTACGATAATAACCACTGGAGTTCTCGTGACTGCAAAAAAGAAACACAAACAATTATAAACAATGGGAAATAAATAGACAGACAAATGCCTCTGATATAACCTGTTTGATTATATATATTTCTGATTTATCTGGGTTTTTTTTAAAGAATAAAAAATGTTAATGTCAGCCTTACACTATGTACAGAAATTAAAAATAGAGATTTAATGCCTTGATAACATCTGTACACACAGTCTGTCCTTCACTCACATGAAGATCGCCCTCTCATTGATAAAGAGCTCGACAGCGGAGAGATTCCCAAACACCATGTTGATGATAAGGAAGAAGAACGCTCCACTCCTGTCGATGAGAGAGGGTGAGGCCGAGTTATCGGATCATCAATTCAGCAGAAAATGTCAGAAGGTCAAGAACCTTCTGATCCTTATCATTCTGCTCATAAACCAGAATATTATCATAGACGTTGTTTCTTCATCCTGACATCGTGGCTTCTTATCTCACTCATTTACTGCATTTTATTATTTTATCCTTTTCTGCTGTGGAGATATTCACAGTTGTCTGTCTCACCACGTCCTCCAGCTCATATCATGCAAAACTAAAATGGTCCACTTGAATTTGATCGATGCATCAAACTGCACACGACAGGAGAAGGAGAAAACCTGCACACACTCATAGATATCAGTTTCCCAAATGTGTTTTTTCATCAAGATCTGCACCAAAATGAAATGGGTTGTTCTCTGACCCAATGACGCACTTTCATGGAAATCCATTCCGTGGTTTTGGTGTAGTCTTGCTAAGAAACCAACCAACCAAGCATGTGATATTATATAGTTACTTTCAAGTGTTGTGATAAGACGGGCTGAGGGAAATAGATTTTGTAGTGCTGGTTAAACAGTACCTGTTCTGTAAACCCTCAGGCAGCGTCAGAGGCATTTGGTAATAAATGAGTCCCACCAGAATTGCAAAAAAGATGTTAAGGGCCAACTGGGCATAAGAAGTCTGAGGGTTCCTGAGACTGTTCATTACCGTCCTGCCACACACCACACGCATCTATTGCACACACACACACAGGGAAAAATCTTTTATGGTCATGATCATTAAATGGCGAGCAGACAAGCACCATGACATAACATCTGGCAGGTTAAAGTGACATTACTAAGTTACATCATAATGTCATAATATAATTTCAATATCAGAAAATGTGATCAGCATTTATTCAACTAGTTCTGATTACTTTATTTCATTTTAAAAAATTTTGTTTGACGTTTAATCTACGGTTGTTCTGTATTCCAGAGTTGTCTGACCTGATAGAGAAAAGACGTAGCATAGGTGGGAACCTCATCCTGACCTTTGTCCCTGTCACCAGTGCTCTGATTAACGTGGTCCAGCTCCTCAATTACTGTCTGGTAGAGCTGGGACTGGCGATATTTTCCTGCCAGTGGGTTTTTACAATCACCTGTGGAAAGACAGAGCACATGCACAAACTATACGCCTGAATGTGTGTGTGTGTGTGTGTGTGTGTGTGTGTGTGTGTGTGTACCTGCAGTGAGTGACTGTAACGTGCAGACTGCCTCTCCATTTGTGACGTCCATAAAGAAATCAGCAGGATTGTTGAAGGACTCGATTTGATAACCTGTACAAAACACAAACAGCATGCAACATGTGCACAACCGCAGTAAGTGCATGTCTCTATAAAACCATACAACATGATATTTGAGATTAGAACAGTAGTTCACGGTCCAGAATTTCATAGCAAGGCAGTAGAACATTATGTATAAAATACAAACAACGTCCTTATCTTTGTAATGATCATTATATAGAATTATATCAAAACACATATGTACCAAGGTCTGTGAAGTAGTCCAGTGCCTGATCTGATGCTCCTGCATACACCACCTCCCCTTTATGCATCAGAGTCAAGTGGTCAAACTGCCTGAAGATGGAGAAGCGTGGCTGGTGGATGGAGAAGATCACAGTCTTACCTCTTCTGGACAGCCTGGACGCATATGGTTGATAACACAGAGACAGCAGGAGAAAGGGAAGGTGCTCAGAGATCATCAATGACGGCTGCTCCGACCACAGCACATGTTCATCTCAGCTGACAGTAAACAGAACAATGCCCGCTGTTTGACCCACCATCTCTCATATTATTGATATCTTATGTGTCTACTGTGTGATTAATTAGTTATTGTGTTATGTTGTTCATAAATATACTTGTGCAGCAGACTGATGATACAGTTGGCAGTGTTGGAATCCAGTCCTGTGGTTGGTTCATCCAGAAACAGCAGAGAAGGAGAAGTGATGAGCTCCATCCCGATGCTGCACCTCTTCCTCTCACCTCCTGACACACCGCGAATAAACTCTGTCCCGATCTGGAAACACACAAGGAATACATCATGCAGTAAATAAATAGATACTCTAACTAAAGCTGCAGAGGAGGTTATGAGAGAGAATGCTTATCATTAAATCTAGAAAAATATTGTTTAATTTCTTTAACATTGTGAGACAGGACGTTTTTCAACATAGAAAAATTCTCTGCCTTGTCCTTGGCTCAAAAACAAAACAAGAACCATCACTGATATTCAACTTCTATACAATAATATTTAAACAAACTGATTTATTGCAGTGCACAATAAATGAGCTTGTGTTTGCACCTTGGTGTTTGCACAGTCTGTCAGGCCCAGGTCTTGTATTATGGTGTTTACTCTGCTGTGTTTATCTGTGGTGGAGTGATGCTGTGGGTTGAGACGGAGGTTTGCACTGAACAACAGATTCTCCTTCACACTCAGAGTCCCCATCATGATGTCATCCTGCAGACACAAGCACAACGGGCGCACAAACCAGTCAGAACAATCCACAGCAACGCACGAGGCGTATGTGAGTTTATATTTGTGCACCTGGACCACATAGGCAGAGCAGAGCCGGAGTTCAGACGTGACTGCTTTTCCACCAACCAAGACGTTTCCTTGGCGC